AAGCATATTTGCTTTGAATTGGAACTCTTTCTTAATTTTGTATTTATCCTTTGAATAAAATGTAAATCCAAAAAAAGAAATTAACATGTAGCAAAAGAAAAAAAATATTCAAAAGTCAAAATGTAATAACAGGTTACCTTTATTCCTTTGATGGGATCACATAAACCAGAGTCAGATGTAGAGTTTACAATTTCTGAAGAAGTTTTTCATTGCATCTTAAAACATTTATACCTTTTTTTTCTTTTTTGTTATACTTAAGTTCTAGGGTACATGTGCACAACGTGCAGGTTTGTTACATATGTATACATATGCCATGTTGGTGTGCTGCACCCATTAACTCATGATTTACATTAGGTATATCTCTTAATGCTATCCCTCCCCGCTCCCCTGACCCCACAACAGGCCCCGGTGTGTGATGTTCCCTGTCCCGTGTCCAAGTGCTCTCATTGTTCAATTCCCACCTATGAGTGAGAACATGCAGTGTTTGGTTTTCTCTTCTTGTGATAGTTTGCTGAGAATGATGGTTTCTAGCTGCATCCATGTCCCTACAAAGGAAATGAACTAATCCTTTTTTATGGCTGCCTAGTATTCTATGGTGTATATGTGCCACATTTTCTTAATGCAGTCTATCATTGATGGACATTTGGGTTGGTTCCAAGTCTTTGCTATTGTGAATAGTGCCACAATAAACATACATGTGCATGTGCCTTTATAGCAGTATGATTTATAATCCTTTGGGTATATACCCAGTAATGGGATGGCTGGGTCAAATGGTATTTCTAGTTCTAGACCCATGAGGAACTGCCACACTGTCTTCCACAATGATTGAACTAGTTTACTGTCCCACCAACAGTGTAAAAGTGTTCCTATTTCTCCACATCCTCTCCAGCACCTGTTGTTTCCTGACTTTTTAATGATCATCATTCTAACTGGTGTGAGATGGTATCTCATTGTAGTTTTTATTTGTATTTCTCTGATGACTAGTGATGATGAGCAATTTTTCATGTGTCTGTTGACTGCATAAATGTCTTCTTTTCAGAAGTGTCTGTTCATATCCTTTGCCCACTTTTTGATGGGGTTGTTGGTTTTTTTCTTGTAAATTTGTTTGAGTTCTTTGTAGGTTCTGGATATTAGCTCTTTGTCACATGACTAGATTGCAAAAATGTTCTTCCATTCTGTCGGTTGCCTGTTCACTCTGATGGTAGTTTCTTTTGCTGTGCAGAAGCTCTTTAGTTTAATTAGATCTCATTTGTCAATTTTGGCTTTTGTTGCCATTGCTTTTGGTGTCTTAGACATGAAGTCCTTGCCCATGCCTATGTCCTAAATGGTATTGCCTAGGTTTTCTTCTAGGGTTTTTCTGATTTTAGGTCTAACATTTAAGTCTCTAATCCATCTTTAATTAATTTTTGTGTAAGGTGTAAGGAAGGGATACAGTTTCAGATCTCTACTTATGGCTAGCCAGTTTTCCCAGCACCATTTATTAAATGGGGAATACTTTCCCCATTTCTTGTTTTTCTCAGGTTTGTCAAAGATCAGATGGCTGTAGATGTGTGGTATTATTTCTGAGGGCTCTGTTCTGTTCCATTGGTCTAAATCTCTGTTTTGGTACCAATACCATGCTGTTTTGGTTACTGTAGCTGTGTAGTATCGTTTGAAGTCAGGTAGCATGATGCCTCCAGCTTTGTTCTTTTGGCTTAGGACTGCCTTGGCAATGCAGCTCTTTTTTGGTTCCATATGAACTTTAAAGTAGTTTTTTTCCAATTCTGTGAAGAAAGTCATTGGTAGCTTTATGGGGATGGCATTGAATCTATAAATTACCTTGGGCAGTATGGCCATTTTCACGATATTGATTCTTCCTATCCATGAGCATGGAATGTTCTTCCATTTGTTTGTGTCCTCTTTTATTTCACTGAGCAGTAGTTTCTAGTTCTCCTTGAAGAGGTCCTTCACATCCCTTGTATTGGATTCCTAGGTATTTTATTCTCTTTGAAGCAATTGTGAATAGGGGTTCATTCATGATTTGGCTGTTTGTCTGTTATTGGCACATAAGAATGCTAGTGACTTTTGCACATTGATTTTGTATCCTGAGACTTTGCTGAAGTTGCTTATCAGCTTAAGGAGATTTTAGGCTGAGACGATGGGGTTTTCTAAATATACAATCATGTCATCTGCAAACAGGGACAATTTGACTTCTTCTTTTCCTAACCGAACACCCTTTATTTCTTTCTCCTGCCTGATTGCCCTGACCAGAACTTCTAACACTATGTTGAATAGGAGTGGAGAGAGAGGACATCGCTGTCTTGTGCCAGTGTTCAAGGGGAATGCTTCCAGTTTTTGCCCATTCAGTATGATATTGGCTGTGGGTTTGTCATAAATAACTATTATTATTTCAAGAGATGTTCCATTAATACCGAATTTATTGAGCATTTTTAGCATGAAGGGCTGTTGAATTTTGTCATTTTCTGCATCTATTGAGATAATCATGTGGTTTTTGTCTTTGGTTCTGTTTATATGATGGATTACATTTATTGATTTGCATATGTTGAACCAGCCTTGCATCCCAGGGATGCAGCCCACTTGATCATGGTGGATAAGCTTTTTGATGTGCTGTTGGATTCGGTTTGCCAGTATTTTATTGAGGATTTTTACATCGATGTTCATTAGGGATATGGGTCTAAAATTTTCTTTTTTTGTTGTGTCTCTGCCAGGCTTTGGTATCAGGATGATGTTGGCCTCATCAAATGAGTTAGGGAGGATTCCCTCTTTTTCTATTGATTGGAATAGTTTCAGAAGGAATGGTACCAGCTCCTCCTTGTACCTCTGGTAGAATTCAGCTGTGAATCCGTCTGGTCCTGGACTTTTTTTGGTTGGTAGGCTATTAATTATTGCCTCAATTTCAGAGCCTGTTGCCTATTCATGGATTCATCTTCTTCCTGGTTTAGTCTTGAAAGAGTGTAAGTGTCCAGGAATTTATTCATTTCTTCTAGGTTTTCTAGTTTACTTGCACAGAGGTGTTTATAATATTCTCTGATGCTAGTTTATATTTCTGTGGGGTCAGTGGTGATATCCCCTTTATCATTCTTTATTGCATCTATTTGATTCTTCTCTCTTTTCTTCTTTATTAGTCTTGCTAGCAGTCAATCAATTTTGTTGATCTTTTCAAAAAACCAGCTCCTGGATTCATTGATTTTTCAAAGGGTTTTCTGTGTCTCTATCTCCTTCACTTCTGCTCTGATCTTAGTTATTTCTTGCCTTCTGCTAGATTTTGAATGTGTTTGCTCTTGCTTCTCTAGTTCTTTTAATTGTGATGTTAGAGTGTCAGTTTTAGATCTCCTGCTTTCTCTTGTGGGCATTTAGTGCTATAAATTTCCCTCTACACACTGCTTTAAATGTGTCCCAGAGATTCTGGTATGTTGTATCTTTGTTCTCATTGGTTTCAAAGAACATCTTTATTTCTGCCTTCATTTCGTTATGCACCCAGTAGTCATTCAGGAGCAGGTTATTCAGTTTCCATGTAGTTGAGCGGTTTTGATTGAGTTTCTTAGTCCTGAGTTCTAGTTTGATTGCACTGTGGTCTGAGAGACAGTTTGTTATAATTTCTGTCCTTTACATTTGCTGAGGAGTGCTTTACTTCCTACTATGTGGTCAATTTTGGAATAAGTGCAATGTGGTGCTGAGAAGAATGTATATTCTGTTGATTTGGGGTGGAGAGTTCTGTAGATGTCTATTAGGTTCACTTGGTGCAGAGTTGTGTTCAATTCCTGCATATCCTTTTTAACATTGTCTCATTGATCTATCTAATGTTGACAGTGGGGTGTTAAATTCGCCCATTATTATTGTGTGGGAGTATAAGTCTCCTTGTAGGTCTCTCAGGACTTGCTTTATGAATCTGGGTGCTCCTGTATTGGGTGCATATATATTTAGGATAATTAGCTCTTCTTGTTGAATTGATCCCTTTACCATTATGTAATGGCCTTCTTTGTCTCTTTTGATCTTTGTTGGTTTAAAGTCTGTTTTATCAGAGACTATGATTGCAATCCCTGCCTTTTTTTTGTTTTCCATTTGCTTGGTAGATCTTCCTCCATCCCTTTATTTTGAGCCTATGTGCACGTGAGATGGGTCTCCTGAATACAGCAAACTGATGGGTCTTGACTCTTTATCCAATTTGCCAGTCTGTATCTTTTAATTGGAACATTTAGCCCATTTACATTTAAGGTTAATATTGCTATGTGTGGACTTGATCCTGTCATTATGATGTTAGCTGGTTATTTTGCTCATTAGTTGATGCAGATTCTTCCTAGCATCAATGGTCTTTACATTTTGGCATATTTTTGCAACGGGTGGTACTGGTTGTTCCTTTCCATGTTTAGTGCTTCCTTCAGGAGCTCTTGTAGGGCAGGTCTGGTGGTGACAAAATCTCTCAGCATTTGCTTGTCTGTAAAGACTTTTATTTCTCCTTCACTTATGAAACTTAATTTGGCTGGATATGAAACTCTGGGTTGAAAATTCTTTTCTTTAAGAATGTTGAATATTGGCCCCCACTCTCTTCTGGCTTGTAGAGTAAAAGATTTATAACTTGTTCAGACAAATAGAGCAGCTATTGTTTTATACATTTGGGTTATAAAAGTTTTGAAAAATTTGAAATTCAAATAGGTTAAAGGGAATTCTCCAAAGTCATATAACCAGTAAGTTGCCGTTCTGACTGCCAATATGATGTTCTTTCCTCTGTAATTGTTTAAACCATGGTAATTTTCATAATGTTGACATAAATATGCCCGGGATTGCCATTTCATTTTCTGAACCTTGATGAGAAGAGTCCATCAACAAGAAAGACATTATCTCAGGAAGAATTTTAGTTCACACACACACACACAGAGACACACACGCATACACACAGATATATATACCTATAATCCCATACATAATAATGTTTCTCTACATATGACTATCAGAGCAAGTATTAATCAAATATTGATGCATACAGAGAGTGGGTGTGTTACCTGTACTTGATCCAAATCTTCTTTTATTTTAAACTCTTTTTCTGAAGACATCTTCCTGTAACATAAAATGTTTTAAAATGCATCATGATATTTTTAAATGCATCACTGCTTTGCTTTCTTGAGAACTTTTTAAACCATTTTAAAATAATGAAGTTTTTTTAAAAAATTCATATTTCTAAGAGACATAAAATTCATACAGGCTAAATTACAAACAACTGAATAACATTTCCCAAGCTAACTTCTCACTGCTATGATTAAGATGTGAAAAGACAGATATTCAAAGCATATTGGTCATTTTTTCTTCTTGGGTGATTTTTTGTTAAAGGTCAAAGCCATTTGTCCCATGAATTTCTTTTCAGGATTTGTGGAACTCTATAAAGTTTGACTTCATAGTTTCCTTTTAAAAAATATTTTAATATCAGGGTTTAATCAGGCAAATTCAAATGCAATAATTATTTTATAATACTAAAGAAAAGATTTACTTAAAAATGCTACTTTATAATAATACATATACACAAAAAATAAATACCTTTTTATAAGAATAATACAATTAATAAGTACAGTAGAAAAGAACAGCCAAGATTGTACAGTAGAAAAGAACAGCCAAGATTGTGGAGTTAACAAATTACAAAGCATGAGCTAGACCATCAAAGAAACAATGTAAATCCTTTTTTCCTAAAATTAAAGATCTAACTCTGTTCACTCATTTCTGAATGCATTGTGGTTCAATCTCCTCTTCCAATCCATTTTTGGTTCTTTGTTCTTCCCCTTTAGCTTTATCCTACAATCATATACTGATTAAAAACATGTGTTTGTCCCACTGCTCAGTGAAATCAAAGAGGACACAAACAAATGGAAGAACATACCATGCTCATGATAGGAAGAATCAATATCGTGAAATGGGCCATACTCGCTCTTACAGGTAATTTATAGATTCAATGCCATCCCCATCAAGCTACCAATGAGCTTCTTCACAGAATTGGAAAAACTGCTTTAAAGTTCATATGGAACCAAAAAAAAGAGCCTCGCATCTCCAAGACAATCCTAAGTCAAAAGAACAAAGCTGGAGGCATCACGCTACTGGACTTCAAACTATACTACAAGGCTACAGTAACCAAAACAGCATGGTACTGGTACCAAAACAGAGATATAGACCAATGGAACAGAACAGAGTCCTCAGAAATAATACCACACATCTACAGCCATCTGATCTTTGACAAACCTGAGGAAAACAAGAAATGGGAAAGGATTCCCTATTTAATAAATGGTGCTGTGAAAACTGGCTAGCCATAAGTAGAAAGCTGAAACTGGATCCTTTCCTTACTCCTTTACGAAAATTAATTCAAGATGGATTAGAGACTTAAATGTTAGACCTAATACCATAAAAATCATAGAGGAAAACCTAGGTAGTACCATTCAGGACATAGGCATGGGCAAAGACTTCATGTCTAAAACACCAAAAGCAACGGCAACAAAAGCCAAAATTGACAAATGGGATCTCATCAAACTAAAGAGTTTCTGCACAGCAAAAGAAACTACCATCAGAGTGAACAGGCAACCCACAGAATGGGAGAACATTTTTGCAATCTACTCATCTGACAAAGGGCTAATATCCAGAACCTACAAAGAACTCAAACAAATTTACAAGAAAAAAAACAAACAACCCCATCCAAAAGTGGCAAAAAGGATATGAACAGACATTTCTCAAAAGAAGACATTCATACAGCCAACAGACACATGAAAAATGCTCATCATCACTGGCCATCAGAGAAATGCAAATCAAAACCACAATGAGATACCATCTCACACCAGTTAGAATGGCGATCATTCAAAAGTCAGGAACAACAGGTGCTGAGAGGATGAGAAATAGAACACTTTTACACTGTTGGTGGGACTGTAAACTAGTTCAACCATTATGGAAAACAGTATGGCGATTCCTCAAGGATCTAGAACTAGAGGTACCATATGACCCAGCCATCCCATTACTGGGTATATACCCAAAGGATTATAAATTATGCTGCTATAAGGACACATGTACACGTATGTTTATTGCAGCACTATTCACAATAGCAAAGACTTGGAATCAACCCAAATGTCCATCAGTGACAGATTGGATTAAGAAAAATGTGGCACATATACACCATGGAATACTATGCAGCCATAAAAAGGATGAGTTTGTGTCCTTTGTAGGGACATGGATGCAGCTGGAAACCATCATTCTTAGCAAACTATCACAAGAACAGAAACCAAACACCGCATGTTCTCACTGTGAGGGTGGGAAACTGAACAATGACTACTTGACTCAGGAAGGGGGAACATCACACACCGGGCTTCATCATGGGGAGGGGGTAGGGGGAGGGATTGCATTGGGAGTTATACCTGATGTAAATGACGAGTTGATGGGTGCAGCACACCAACATGGCACAAGTATACATATGTAGCAACCTGCACGTTGTGCACATGTACCCTACAACTTGAAGTTTAATAATAATAAATAAATTTAAAAAAAAAATTAGCTTTATCCCATAATCATATACTGATTAAAAACATGTGTTTGTCTATTTTATGTTTTCAAAAGCTTATTCATAAGTTATGTTTTTTTGACTTTAAATTGTTTTTATAAAAAGAAAATATAAATTAACAAGAAAAAAAGATTAACATGTATCTTTATGTCTTACTTTTCTGAATCCTCAGATTTTCCTTTGTCTTTTTTCTTCACTGTTTTCGCAGCTTTCTTTGTTCGATTATTTGTAGACTTAATTTTCTGTATAATTTTATATAAGCCAGAAATAAAGGGTTGAAAACACAATAAGTTATTTAAAAAAATGATAATATATATTGCTAATGTACATTTTACTCTAAGAGTCACTATACAACGTTTCAAGAAAAATTATCTGCATAGAAGCAAAACAAAATGACACATCTGGTCTGTTTGTAATAGTGCTTTATGTGGTGTAAGTTGTATATAAGCTAATACATATTAAAACATTTAAATTTTTCTGACAATTACAATCAATTATGTTATAATGTAGCATATGCCTTCCAGAAAATCATCTCACTATGCAAAAACACGCAATAAAACCTGTAGGATGTATGGGGGAAATGGGTTAGGTGCACATCTTGCAAAAACCTTGTAGGTAATATATTTTTAAAAATAGAACCTAAGAAAAACAGTACTATAGTACACAGTTAAATGATTAAGAATACATAAATACCATGAGAAATATAGACTTCCATTTTGAGAAAGACCTGAAACTTGTTTGTGAAAGTGAGCATTGAATAGGTTGCAACTTGTGAGTTATTGCACAGTGGAAGGAAATTATCTGAAATTAAAATGTCATACCACCAGATATGGGCTTGTGTGGCATACTATACACAGGTGAACCAAGGTAGATGGAGAAAGTTGCTTTCTGCTTTTTTTCTTTTTTTTTTTTTTTTTTTTGAGATGGGAGTCTCACTCTGTTGTCCATGCTGGAGTGCAGTGGCACAATCTCAGCTCACTGCAACCTCCACCTCCTGGGTTCACACAATTCTCCTGTCTCAGCCTCCTGAGCAGCTTGGATTACAGGGGCTTGCCACCACACCCAGCTAATTTTTGTATTTTTAGTAGAGACGGGATTTCACCATATTGATCAGGCTGGTCTTGAACTCCTGACCTCAGGTGATCCACCCGCCTCGGCCTCCCAAAGTGCCGGGATTACAGGCGTGAGACACCGCACCCAGCCCTTCTGCTTTCACTCATTGTTTCTGCAGATGAAACAGCTTAATTAAGCACATGTGAAATTCAAACTATGCTCAAATTGTTCAATTAAGTTAGAACAAGTTTGCATTTCAAACAAATATTATAGCAGAACTAATCACGTTTTAAAGTATTCTTGAGCTGCTGTGTAGTACAAGATCTTTTTCTTTTCAGTAGAAAGAATAAAAATGTTTTCTGGGCTTTATTTTTAACTGACAGCAAATAGAAATCCTTTAGTGAGATCATGGCAATTTGACAGTATTATAATTAAGCTCAATCAAGGTACATGGGGTACTTGGAAGATCAAGTTCTACAGCTGCCTATTTCTACATCTTTCAATCCATCTGGTTCCTTAAACAATAGGGGGAAAACCCCTTATTTGGTGGAGGAGCATTTCCAAAATGAAGTTACAGTTTCTTTCTCAAAATTTACTGTCGTGTCAACTGTTAAAATAGGGCCTTTTGTGTGTTTTGTTATTTCATCTTAATATCACCAGAATTTCTGTAATTCCACAACTGTGATTTTACAACGTAGAAGAGAATTCAGTTCTAGTCTATTGCTTTAGATGTAAAAACAGCTGAAAACCCAAAGTGGATTAGAATTGCTAAAAGATTTCCCTGCCATCGTTTGATACAATCTATTCTCTTGATTCTTGATAGGTGCATAGGAAGCCTAACTTAGAATTCTTTCTACAGGAACATGTCTGATTTCAGGAGTACCCAATGAAGGATCCCATGGATGGCCAGCCAGTTACTCAGAGTAATATGTTTATGAATTAAATGGATTGCATAATGGTACCACTTTTTCTTTGTCACTGTTGGTGGATAAATGACAAAGTAGATTCCAATATCCTGTATAGAAAGGTGGTTACCCAACAGCCTCACTGGTGGCTTGCTAGCAGTAGAGCCTCAAGTCGCACCTCTGTGGCTTTCTGTAAATTTGAGTCCTATAGCCACTTGTAATCCCCAAGGCCCACTTGGTCCATGCTGAAGAAGCAGCTGTGACCCCAATCTTGCCCCTTTTGCTCTTCAATATTACTGGAGGAATATGTAATATCTAGGTCAAGTCTAGGAGAGGCTCATCCTAAAAAAAATTGCCTAAAAAAAAATTGCCAAGTCTTTTCTCAATTAAAACAAAAAAAGCCTCAAGTACATCTCAATCATGTCAAAATTATGGTTAAAAACTGACATTATGTAGGGAAATAGCAGCAGAGAATGGCTAATCTTAAGAAACAACCAACCAACCAAAAAAACAAAACAAAACAAGACCAACAACAAAAAAGTGCCATCTCACCCCTCCCCTTGGTTCTTTCAATTGGGGTTAAAGACTCGAGCCTCTGAGAAAATGAGAAAGGGAAAGCCATAGAGGAAAACTGCTTCAAGGCCAGAATTTTGGGCAAGGTAAAGAAAAAGTTGTACATGAAAGCAGGGACTGTCTGGAAAAGAATCAGAATCTCAAGATCTATTTTTCTTAAATGGGAAAGCTCTGAAACCCAGATCTCTGTTCTACCATCATCCTGATCCTTTAGTTATGGGGCAATAAACTCAAGTGCAATGAGTAAAGTGCCAGCCGCGGATACAAAAACAAAATATAAAACAAAACAGCCAACCAAAATAACTCTGGTCTTAGGGTAATAGAAGACATATAGGAAAGGACTGTCTATAGAACACCTGAGGTTCTCAAGAAATTACTATTCAATGGTTCTGTTTTTGCTTACATTAAAAATCAGACTAAAGATTCAAAGATCTTAACTATTAAAAGATGAAAGGAATTTGACAGTGCTTTGAACAGTGATAAAATGGTACCCAAATTTGGTGTTCATACAGTTAACTAAAAAAGATAGTAGCTTAAAAGTTGCAGGAAAAAATGTGAACATACAGAACAACAGAAACAGTCCAGGAAGATGATGCAGCCTGGACACAGCAAGTTTAATGTCTCTGCTGGTGTACATAGAATTAACACCCTTTCCCCTCCTCATCCTCATGCAGGCAATAGAATATACACTAGAAAATTTGACTCTTAATGAATAAAAGGATGGGCTCATACACCTTCATAGCTCTTTTCAAAAAGGATGCTTATAATTTAAAGGATGTCCTAATAGGAAGGAAAGATACAGGGGAAGAGGCAGTTTCACATTTTAGTCCATTAGTCTTTGGTAGAGCCCAACCAAGGCCAAATTCACCTAGGATGCCCAATGGCTGTGGGGATCTCCACAGTGTCAAGTAAGCAAACCCAAATGAACATGTTGGATTACAAAAAAAAAAAAAAAAAAAAAAAAATCTAGAAACTCTTGAAGAAAGAGCTTCACCCTAAAAAGGGAAGAGGAAAATGCTTGGAGGGGAAGGGCTGAGGGTCAGTGTGTGATCTCTGCTGTGGTGCTGGCCAGGGGCTTAGGAGTTAAGCCAAGGGTGGCGGAGACACTCAGTGGCAGTGGCTCTCTTCTCAGGGATCAACTCCAACATGGGCAGTAAGAAATCTGTGAAGTCAGCTGCCTCTTCCTGAGACCACTCATACTTCTCTACTAGAACCTCAAAAAGGCCCCAAGGTTTCAGCTTCGTGATACGTTTCAGGTCACCTTTTTTGGTGAAAAATTCCTTGGAATATTGTCCTGCCACAATGAGCTTGCAAGGCACCTTCCCTAGAAGTTCCATGATCAATGCAATGTGATCTTCATCTTGAGTGTACTCTTCCCCTGAATGAGGTTCAAACAAATAGGCATCTGTGGCCAGTTCAAAGGTCATGCATGTCATGCTCCAAATGTCAGCAGGGGTATCACAGCCAGATCCTATTAGAACTTCCAAGGAATGATATTGCCTCGTTTGAATATCTTCAGTGAAATGTTTGTGCACTCAACAAGCATTTCCAAGATCAGCAATCTTCACCTTGAACTTTTCTGCATTTTTTGGCTCAAGGGAATTAACAAGAAAATTTCCAGCCGTGGATTTTCGTTTGTTGTCCAATGGTCCATTATGTTCTTGCTCTTGTTCATCTTCACAGGGTATCTCTGACCGAATGCTTTCTTGAAGTTGGCTAATGTACTGTTCACTGAATGACTAATCTATAGTTGAGGAAGACTGGTACACCATGGAGTCTGACACCTCAGATGTTATAGGTGTACAGGAGTCTGTTTCTTGAGATGTGCTACTGTCTCCATTTTGGGAGCTTAGGAAACTAGATTCCTGATTCAAATTTTGGACATCACGGTCATTAGCATTATGTAGATCCTCTTTATGCCTCAATGTTTCATTATTACTGTTCTGACTATAATTAATGACTTCAATCACTCCATTGCAATTAATTTCTGCTGCACCACCCTCTGTATCACGTTCCATAAGTGTTTGATCCTGGCCAATGGTACTTGACTATTCAAGTTTTTCTTGGGTCATTTTATTAGGTGGGTTCTCTTTCAAGGGTCTTTCAACAGGACTCTCTGATTCTTCTTGCTTGTTTGGTCTTTTTTGCCCAGGGTCCGACTCTCTCCATTTCCTCAATTTCCTGCATTCACTTCTCTAGTAATTCTGCCTGGCGCTTCTGCTTCTTCTTCAATTTCTTCTTCTTCTTCTTTGACATTTTGTCAGCTGGTTTAGGTTGGGGAGAAGTACTGACTGCAGATCCAGAAGGTGGAGGAGCTCCAGACTGCTGCCATTCTGTTTCTTCTGCAGCCAGCCTCCGAAAGTACTGCTCATTCACTGACAATAAGATGTTCTCTGGTTTAATGTCAGTGTGGATGATACGGCACTTGCTATGTAAATAATCAAGACTCTGTAACAACTTGCTGAATAATTTTTTTGACGCAAGGCAGTGGAAGCCCCTGATAATTGGACTTGGTGATCCACTTGAGCAGATGATGCCCCAAAACTTCAAATACCATGCAGATACGTGTTCCATTAACTCCTGATATTTTAAAGTCATCTAGTAGTTGTACAACCATTTCTCTATTTGGATCATTAGGATCTGAATTACGAGCTGACTTCAGCAACCGGATTTCATCTAGTGCTGTTTCAGTGTAATGTTCAGCACTTTTAACTACTTTCATTGCCACAAATTTCTTCCCGTGAATATCCCATGATAACCATACCATTGAAAAGTGTCCCCAGCCTAACTTTTGGATCACGTGATAGCTCCCGTTGAATAGATCTCCAATTTTCACAAGATGATAACCTCCTTTACAATAATCATTAGGATCTTCTTGCTCATCATCATCAGATCCCAGAATCTCCTCTTCCTGCTCTGGTAGATCACTCTCGGAGTGGAGAGCAGAGCCTCGGTGCTGAGTTTCAGATTCCTTTTGGGCTTTGTCCTTCTTGGGTATGGTCCTTCTCTTTCAGGCCTGGAGCGCAAACACTTTCCGCTCCATGGTGAGACCAATAACTGCCAGGCGCCTGCGCACCAGTACAAGATCATTTTATACAAGAAAGTAAGGGAAAAAATTAACAGTTAAAAATTATTTAAAATTTTAGGATATTTGGACAAGACGGCAGACTAGAAGCATCTCATATGCACCATTCTCACAGATCAGAAACAAAAGGGGCTAGTAAACATTGACCCTGCAGGCCGATCATCTGAGAAACCACGTTATGATCCATCAAGGCAGCAGGGTAACACAAAGAGCAGAGATGAGTGAGGTGGGACACCAGCATGTCTGGGCTCAGTGCAGAGCCAGGAGAACCTTTCAATATGGGAAAGGTTGAGTAAGTGAACCATTTTCCAACATGGGAAAGGGTGAGAGCCCCTTAGGGGGATTCAGCTCTCCACAGGGACCTGTGCAAGACTAGGAATGGGAGAAACCCCCTGGGCCCCCACCAACTCTACCACATTTCTAGACTGAAGGAGGAGCCACTGGGACATTTTGTGGGGGCAACTCTTGCGTCCACGGGGACCTCTACAAGCCTTGGGCCCAAGGGCAGACCAGTACCAATGCCACTGCCTCAGTAAAAACCACAGTTGCAGTACCTGGGAGCTGTACGATTTATCCATGTCTTCTTGCCAGATGGGGCTCAAGGCCAGCTTCCGGACTAGCAGGCCCACTTTGGGCCAAACTCGGCTGGCCACTCCACCCACCCCCACCACTGGTAGCCAGGTAGGTGAGGCTTCCTAGAGCTTCCAGCCCAGCAGTCCTGCTTTTGTGTGAACTCAGCTGGAGGGTGCAGCCTCCTGCTTTCCCAGGAAATACCCAGAGAGCTGAGCAGGTGACTCCACCCACCCCTCCCATGGAAACACATATTGGCAACACCTTCTAGAGCTTCCAGCCCAGTGGCCACGCTTCTGTGTAAACTCAGCGATAGGGTGCATCTTCCTGTTGTCCCAGGAAGCATCTAGACTATAGACCAGGCATCCCCACCCACCCCCACTTCTGGTAGCAAGGCGAGCCATGCCTGCTAGAGCTTCTAACTCAGTAGTCCTACTTCTGCCTGAATTTGCCTCCTGCTGCCCTGGAAACACACAGAAAGCAGGGCAAGCAACTCTATCCATGCCTGTGGCTCTCTAAAATAAATCAATCAGACAAAAACAAAAATAAAAAATGAAAAAAAAACTGAGAAATTTGGGGTTAGCTAGAGGTCAAATCTATGACTTATTGGTATTCCTGAAAGAGGCGGGGGAAAAGCAAGCAACCTGGAAAACATATTTCACTGTATCACTGATGAAAACTTACCCAACCTCACTAGAGAGGACAACATTCAAATCCAAGAAATACACAGAGCCCCTGAAAGGTATTATACAAGAAGATAAAACCAAGACACATAATCATCAGATTTTCAAAAGTCAACATGTAAGAAAAAATGATAAAGGTAACTAGAGAGAATGTGCAGGTCACCTACAAAAAGAATCCCACCCATCAGGCTAAAAGTGGACCTGTCAGCAGAAATCCTACAAGCCAGAAGAGATCGGGGGTGGGGCAGGGGGAGGCCTATATTCAGCATTCCTAAAGAAAAAAATTTCCAGCCAAGAATTTCATATCCAGCCAAACTGAATGTCATACGTGAAAAAGAAATAAGATCCTTTTCAGGCAATCAAATGCTAACAACATGATAGCGAGATCAAACTCATACACATCAATATTAACACAGAATGTAAATGGGCTAAATGCCCAAATTTAAAGGTACAGAGTGGCAAGCTGGAAAAAGAAGCAAGACCCAATGGTATGCTATCTTCAAGAGATCCATCTCACAGGCAATGACATCCACATAGGCTCAAAATAAAAAGAGAAAAATTTACCATGCACATGGAAAACAGGAAAAAGCAGGAGTTGCAAACCTAATTTCAGGCAAAATGAACTTTAAGTGAATAAAGATCAAACAAGGTAAACATGGGCAGTACATATTGGTAAAGGGTTCAATTCTACAAGAAGATTTAACTATTCTAAACATATATATACCCAACATAGGACCACGCAAATTGATACCCAGGACAAGCAAGTTCTTAGAGACCTACAAAGAGACTTAGACCCACACACAATAATAGAGGGACACTGCTATTAGACAGAAGACCCCACTGACAGTATTAGATAGACCATTGAGGCAGAAAATAAACAAAGATATTCAGCACCTAAACTCAACATTTGACCAGTGGACAAATAGACACTACACAAGGCTCCACCCAAAAACAACAGAATATACATTCTTCTCATCATGACATAGCACATACTCCAAAAAATCTAGCTGGCCATAAAATAATCCTTAGCAAATTTAAAAAAAAAAAATCAAAATCATACCAACCATACTCTCAGACTACAGCAAAATAAAAATAGAAATCAAGACTAAGAAAATCACTCAAAACCATACAATTACATGGAATTTAAACAACCCCCTCCTGAATGACATTTGGGTAAACAATGAAATTAAGGCAGAAATTAGGAAGTTCTTTGAGACTAACGAGAACAAAGATACAACATACCAGAAACTCTAGGACACAACTAAGGCAGTGTTAAGAGGGAAGTTTATAACACTAAATACCCAACATGAAAAAGTTAGAAAGATCTAAAATTAACAACCTAACCTCACAACTAGAAGAAGAGAAGAGTAAACCAACCCCAAAACAAGCAAAAAGTAAGAAGTACCCAAATCAGAACTGAACTGAAGAAACTGAGATACAAAAAAACATGAAAGATCAACAAATCCAGAAATTGGTTTTATAAAAAAATTAATAAGATAGACCACTAGCTAGACAAATAAAGAAAAACAGAGACCAGATCCTGATAAACACAATTAGAGATGACAAAGCAGATGTTACCACTGACACCACAGAAATACAAATAACCATCAGAAACTACTATGATTGCCTCTATGCACACAAACCAGAAAATCTATACTAGAAATGAGTACATCAAACTAGAAATACATAAATTCCTGGACACATACAACCACCCAAAAATGATCCAGGAAGAAACTGAATCCCTGAGCAGACCAATAATGATTTCCAAAATTGAATTAGTAACAAAAAGCTTACCAACCAAAATAAGCCCAGGACCAGACAGATTCACAGCCAAATTCTACCAGATATATAAAGAAGCGTTGGTGCCATTCCTACTAAAATGATTCAAAAAAACTGAGGAGGAGGGACTCCTCCCCAACTCATTCTATGAGGCCAGCATCATCCTGATGCCAAAACTTGGCAGAGACACAACAAATAAAGAAAACTTTAGGCCAATATCTTGATGAACATAGATACAAAAACCTCCTCAACAAAATACTAGCAAACTGCTTCCAGAGGCACATCAAAAACCTAATCCACCATGATCAAATAGGCTTTATCCCTGGGATGCAAAGTTGATTCAACATATGCAAATCAATAAATCTGATTCACCAAATAAACAGAACTAAAAACCAAAACCACATTATTATCTCAATAGAGGCAGAAAAGACTTTCAATAAAATTCAACATCTCTTCATGTTAAAAACCTTCAATAAACTAGGCATTGAAGGAACATACATCAAAATAATAAAAGTTATCTATGACAAAACCACAGCCAACATCATATTGAATGGGTAAAAGCTGAAAGCATTTCCCTTGAAAATCAGCACAAGACAATGATGCCCTCTCTCACCATTTCTATCCAACACAATATTGGAAGTCCTGGCAAGAGCAATCAGGCAAGAGAAAGCAATAAAGGGCATCCAGATAGGAAGAGAGGAAGTGAAACTACCCCTGTTTGCCAGCATGATTCTATATCTAGAAAACTCCATAGCGTTGGCCCAAAATCTCCTTCAGCTGATGAACAACGTCAGCAAAGTTTCAGGGTACAAAATCAATATACAAAATTAGTAGCACTCCTATACATCAATATCCAAACCAAGAGCCAAATCAGGAATGCAATCGCATTCTCAACTGCCACAAAAAGAATAAAATATCTAGGCATATAGCTAACTATGGAAGTGAAGGATCTCCACAATGAGAACTTTAAAACACTGCTCAAAGAAATCAGATGACACAAACAAATGGGAAAACATTCCATGCTCATGGATAGTGAGAATCAATATTGTTAAAATGGTCATACTTCCCAAAGCGATTTAAAGATTCAAAGCTATTCCTATCAAACTACCAATGTCATTCTTCACAGAAATAGAAAAAACTATTCTAAAATGCATAAGGAACCAAAAAAGAGTCAGAATAGCCAAGGCAATCCTAAGCAAAAAGAATAAAGCTAGAGGCATCACACTACCCAACTTAAAACTATACTAAAGGGCTACAGTAACCAAAACAGCACAGTACTGGTGCAAAAACAGACACCTAGGCCAATGGAACAGAATAGTGAAGCCAGAAATAAGGTGCACACCTAAAACTATCTGATCTTCAACATACCTGACAAAAACAAGCAATGAAGAAAGGACTCCCCATTCAAAAAATGAGGGTGGAATAACTGACCAGCCATATGCAGAAGATTGAAATTGTACCCCTACCTTACACCACATTCAAAAATCAACTCAAAATGAATTAAAGACTTAAATGAAAACCCAAAACTATAAAAACTCTGGAAGATAATCTAGGAAATACCATTCTGGACATAGGACTTGGCAAAGATTTTATGATAAAGATGCCAAAAGCCATTTCAACAAAAACAAAACAAATGAGATCTAAACTAAAGAGCTTTTGCATAACAAAAGAAACTATCAACAGAGTAAACAGGCAACCTAGAGATTGGGAGAAAATATTAGTAAACTATGCATCTGACAAAGGTGTTATATCCAGAATCTATAAGGAACTTAAATTTACAAGGAAAAAATGACTCCATTAAAAAGGGGACAAAGGACATGAATGGACAATTTTCAAAAGAAGACATACATGTAGCCAACAAACATACAAAAAATGCACAACATCAGTAATCATTAGAGAAGTGCAAACCAAAACCATAATAAAATATCATCTCATACCAGTCAGAATGGCAACTATTAAAAAGTCAAAAAGTAACAGATGCCGGTGAGGTTGAGGAGAAAAGGGAAAATTTACACACTGCTGGTGGGAGTGTAAATTAGTGTAAATTAGTTGTAGAACGCAGTGTGGTGATTCCTCAAAGAACTTAAAAAAGAATTACCATTTGACCCAGCAATCTCATTGTTGGGTATATACCCAAAGGAATTTAAATCATTTTACCATGAAGACACATGCACATATATGGTTATTGCAGCACTATTCACAATAGCAAATACATGGAGTCAACCTAAATGCCCATCAGCGGTGGGCTGGATAAAGAAAATGTGATACGTATACACCATGGAATACTACATAGCTATAAAAAATAATTAGATAATATCCTCTGCAGCAACATGGATGGAGCTAGAAGCCATTATCCAAATGGCTAGTGCCAAATACCCCATGATCTTACTTATAAGGGTGAGCTAAACAACAAGACCACATGGATTCTAGGAGAGTAACAACAGACATTGGGGCCTACTTGAGAGTGCAGAGTGGTAGGAGGAAGGGGATCAGAAAAAATACCTATCGGGTACTATGCTTACTACCCAGGTGATAAAATTATCTGTACACCAAACACCCATGACATGCGAAGTTTACCTATATAACAAACCTGCCCGTGTACCCCTAAACCTAAAATAAAAGTTAACCAAAACGTGAGGTTTGCTGGGAGGAAATAGATATATTCAAGTGCTAGCAGCTTGTGAGACGGCAAGACTTAAGTCTCAAAAAGCCATCTCAAAATCTCAAGCCGCCTAGAGGATGTTTAAGGGGAAAGGTGGCATGGAAATGATGCACAGGAGAGGCATGGGGTGTAGGTCTGCTTGTTGCTTTCTGATGGCTAGCTGGAGTAACAGACCATCCACAAGCCTGGTTGGTGTCATCTCTGCATGGGTCTGGTTATAGACTAACTGCTCCAATTTCTTCCTGGAAGGGAGAAAATTGCAACCACCCTCTCTGCTTTCCACCTGGGTTGTTTCAAGATTAACCTTTGGAATTCTCAAGCAAACAGGTAGTTAGATATATATGTAGCAAGAAACAAACTGAGGGAGGGGTTACTTCTAGAGTAAACTAGCAACCTGGCTATCCCAGTGAGGACTAAACTCTGACCTTTTCTCTCTCTTGCTGAAATTCCTATTTAAGCGGCCTGGGAAGACATGCCCTATAAACCATAAAATCTAAATAGATGCATTTTATTTAACCCTATATAACATTGCTTACTCTCCAACCTGACTCTGGCATCACATCACATGACAGATAAAGAAAGAAATCCAAATATTTGACCCCAAAATATGTTTCTTTGCCATATTTTGAAATAGTCCTGCAAAGCCATCTTTTACTGGGGAGATTTGCATCTGTAAATAACTTCTATTAATGTAATTAACGTAATTAGATCTTTCCCCTTTCCTCCCAACCTTGAAGAGATTAGCTGACAGTCCAGCACCTCTTAAAGGTCTAAACAGGAAACATTTGCCATCTATTGTTTCTAAGGGTAGCCACCTATGAGATTTCATATAACAAGAACTTGGTCTCCAAGCCCCTTCTCTTTATCTAGACACTCCTTTCCATTGATTCCAGATCTTTAGATAATAATAACTTGACTCTTTCAATCAATTGCCAGTCAGAAAACCTTGAATCCATCTATGACCTGTAAGCGCCCCCCACACACA